CTGTTCCCATACAACCTCGACCACTGTGCATTGGTGTTAACGATCATTAGATATGTGTTTCTGATGTTTATTTTTCTAAACTTTTCTCCGAACTTGCTGACCCGAAACAGGATAAATATTTAATACTGGCTAAAGCCGCTACCCCTTTGATTTTATATGCATTCTAAATTTTATATACGAACATATTTTGGTTAAAAAATATAAAAAAAATCAAAAATTAAAATATTGTAATACTTTAATGTGCAAATAAACAAATAGCTCATGAACATGACAGGAACAGGTGACCACGAGAAAAGCATGAACATGCCATGCATACCCGAAGGGTTTGCCCTTCGGATTTACTAATTTCATAGCAAATGCCCATGATGCAGGAAACTGAAATATTTTAAAGTTGAGTGGCATTTCTGTTGCAATTAGTCCATTCGAGGTAGAAACATACTTCCCCGTAATATTCGTATCCTCAATTAAATTGTTGTGTAGTTTTTTACTGAACCGATTTCAATATAATTTAACAAAATTTACTTTTACACCAAATTCTGTCACTCCATCCATATTTTATAGAAATTGGTGCGTCAAACATGTGCCACATATTCTGAATTTCATTTGAATCGGTCATATGTACCGTATTTGGTGCATAACATACATGAAATCGGCCGAAATATATATATGGGAACTTTACCCAAACCTCAACCGATTTCAATAAAATTTGGCAATTTTTGTCCGAATTTCATTGGAATCGGACATACATATCGCATTGGTTGCATCAAATATGTAAAATTGGTCGAAAATATATATGGGAACTACATCTAAATCTGAACCGATTTCAATATAATTTGACAAATGTATATTGGTTTAAAATTCCGTCACACATTCCAAATTTCATTGGAATCGAACATAAATATCGTGTTTGGTGCATCAAATTGACAAAATCGGTCGAAAATAGATATGGGATAGCTCCCATATCTATTCCAAATCTGAACCGATTTCAATATAATTTGACAAATTAATTTTTGTTTCAAACTCCGTTACGCATGCCAAATTTGGAGACTGCATTTGTAATCGATCAATAGATATATGCGCATAAAATCTAAATTCTTGGGAGGTACTTGGATTCTGTTGTTATATCTGCAGTTCCAAGTGGAAGTCAAAAAAATTATATAGCCTTTGTTATTTTCAGTCGATGTTGTAGTATTCTTGGAAATTTTAAGGAAAATCTGTTCAGCGGTTTTCGGGTCCATAAATTACAAACAAACAAACATTTTCCTCTTGATGGTAACAATATGTAATATAACGAATAATCTCCAAGCAAATTTGTTTTAAATAAAAAAACAAATATTTGGCATCATATTGTTGTTCAAGCTACCTGTATTTCCCGCTTACCTTTATGCATTTCCCGTAGTTGGCCAAAAGAGGTAATGCGAAAAAAAGAGAAAATACAAATTGCTTTTCTACAAAATTATGTTTATTATTTATTTAATGATTTTTTTGTTTTAGCAAATGTACATATCCATGTTTATGTATTTGTTTCACATTGTCACATTTTGTTAATACATGTATAAATAATGTTGTTGTTACGTTCATTTATTTTTAATTATTTTAAATTATAGTTTTTGTTGTTGGGTGCATGAACTTTTACATACGACATATCTTCAGCCATTTCGCCTACCTCTATCACCTGGGAGAGGAAACTGACCGTTAACAATATATTTTTTTTTTTGTAAAAGTTCACCTTCAGCTGCCAAACATTTTGTGGTTAACAGTACTTTTTAGCGGCCTTTTTACACAGTTTTCAATTCATTTGGGCCTCCTCTTCGGGATTCGTTTAAAGGAAACTTTTCATAATAAATTTCCGTTTTCCGCTTTGTGCCATTTTCTGTTTCCCTTTTGCATTTATAATTAACATCAAATGGAATTAATAAAATGTTGCTAAGGTTTTGAATTAAAAAAAAAGTAAAACGCCATATAATTATAAACGTTCGTGAGTAACATAGCCCCCCCCCTCCGGCAGGAAATTTGTAATGCCTCTCTTCTTCATGAAGAATGTTCATTTTTTAGGGCTCATGAAACAATTTTGCCTCGCTTGGAAGGCACAGAGTAGGAGGAACTTTCCGCTCTGAAAGCTGTGTAAGTCGGCATGTATTTAATTACTACAACTTCTGTGAGTTATGCATGATCCAATTTGTGAAATAAAAGGTTTTGAATAAAAAGCATTTAGGATTTTTATTGTTTATTTTTACAGTAAGAAACTTGTTTAATCATTTTTTGTTTTCTTATCAAAAGTTTTTGGTTTTTAGTTTATTGTCAGCAGATTTCTTACATCTACTTTTGTCTTTTAGCAGATTTACACAATCTGGATTTGTTTGAGTTGGTGTAGCATAAACTTGGAAGCTGGGGGTAGAAGGAGACATGTTACAATTGTAAATGAAACAAAAAATATTTTTCAGCCACAATGTTTCTAAGCGATTTAGCTCTGTACGAAATGAAATTGGGCATTGGCCACATGCTGCATAACTATTTATAGATTTATTTTCTAATTTAAAGTAAACCAATGTTATCATTTGAAAATATAATTCCAACAAAGAGTTGAACATTTGCGATTGCAACAAGTGAATATATGTACTACATGGGATCGGAAAATACTTAATCCAAAGGACTAGGCAAATCTTACAAAATATCTTGATTTTCAAATGTGATTTCAATGCCTAGGACATTTCTAAAGAACTTGAGCAATGCTTCGACTGATAAAAACTTGAAAATTTCTAAAATCGACTCAAGATATCAAACATAAAATAAATAGTCCAAACTTATGTAAAATGTAAATGATTTATTTTCTAAGCCATCCTGAAAATCTTTTCAAAATTGTTGCAAGTTTTTATTTGATTCTACAACCCATACGCCATACAATAGCCAGTTTAACATTTACAGTAAATATAAAGTTTTAATAAAAGAGAAACAATACATATTTTCAAACGATTCCATTTTTTGAAACATTCCGTAGATATGCAAAATAGCGAGAACAAAAACAACGAGTTTAAATATCGACATATGTCTGTATTTTTTTCCGCATGAATGCATTGGAGTGATGTGTACCGTTGCTGGTAATTTCATCAGCAGATTTTTATTTAAATACCGACAGTAAAATCTCATATGATTCGCCAAACGAGGACAGTATGAATTAGTCAGTTGTTGCATTGCAAAGAAGACACGAGACAAAATAATCCAATTCCATAGAAACAAAAATTTACTGACTAATTGAATTTTGCTGACCTCTGATTCGTATCTTTACAACATACATGTGAAAATATTGAAAATCGATCGAGATTTTCATTCTGTATAAGCTGCTGTGTAAGGCAGTATCAACATCTTTATATCAGGATCCAAAGTATCGATTGAAATGTTTTCCACATTGAATGCAAGAGTTTGGTCCTTGCTGGATGTTTGTCAAACTAACTACACCTAAGTCTGTTTTTACACGGTCTTTTTGTACACGGTTTTGATATAACACGGTTTGAAAATTGAATATTTTTAATTTTTTTTACACGATTTTATTCCATTTAGCACGATTTGAAATGTTATGTACTTCAATTTTTAAATTTAAATTTAATTTTAACGCATTAAGATAAAAGGTAAGCCAAAAAATATTTTGTATTTATTCAGTTATTTATGTTTTTTAATTTTGTTAAATATTTTATGTATCCCTAAAAGGAAATGTCAGATAAAAAACTAAAAGAGAAGGCAATTTCTTTGGAAACCAAGATTAAAATTTTAGATCGCCTTCGAAATGGAGAAGGCTCAACTGCTCTTGGTAAAACATTCGCTTTAAATGAAGCCACAATAAGAACTATAAAGAAAAATGAAATTGCAATTAAGCAATCTGTGATTTCATGAATTCTTGTTCTTAAAAATTCTTGTTTTTCACTAATTTTAATAGGTTTTAGAGATTAGGAACAAATCACCCATTTTTGTATAAGACCAATGTCTTTTTTACACGGTTTTTTTTACACGGCTTCTTCTGGAACCAATCTACCATGTAAAAACAGACTTAGGTGTATTTACAAATTATCGTGGTGGGAATTTCCTAGAAGCAAAAGAGGCAAGAACCTATAATTAACTTGATCTAAAATTGAATGTGATTTTAAATATCACTTATTTACTGAACTAAAAATATATTTTTTTTATTTTATTTTTGTTTTTTTAATATCTACTTGAACATTTGTGAGAGATAAACACAACTCTTGAGACTCTATATAAGTATAACTCATATCAATTCAAGATTGTTTTTGAGCTGATTACTAAAACTCTAGGAAAAGCAAGAATACCATTTTCCTTTTAAATTTAATTTTTTTACTGCAATATCTTTATAATAATAATAATAATAATAATAACAAGTACTTTATATAGTAGTATAATGTATGTACGTATGTATATATCATGAAATTGTGAATTTATTTACTTTTATTATTGAATTGTTTTTTAACTCAGGTTTAAGGTAGGCTATGTAATAATTATGTATGGTCTATTAGGCCTTTTTATTACAAATGGATTAATAAATAAATAAATAAATAAATAAATAATATCGAACAAAAAATAATAATAAAAATAGTAGATTCTTGCTGGTTCTGGAACAGAGCAAGGTATAAACGTATAAGTGTCGGTTGAACTATTGCTTTTATGTGGCTTTTCATGGGGTTATATTGACTGTATTTTGAATACAAATGTGAATATTAAAGATTTAATTTTTTACACAAAGTTAAAAATTTAATTTGAAGCGATACCCATCACAACCTACGAGCCTATGCAACACCATGTGTAAAAGAGTGATTTAAAATGTTGTTTTAAGTTACAGTGTGGCAATAAAATAACAAAAAAATAAGCAAATCATAAATATGTACATATGTTTGCAACGTATGCCAAAAACGCATCTTACCAACCTCGTACCTATGACATGTAGCAGGTTTTATGCTCGACAACAATTTATTTTCTGTTTTCATGTTTATTTATATATATATATTTGTTTATACACAATCAGTCACATTATTTTGTAAAATAAATTTACCTAACTATACACTGTACAGATGGGTTGTTGTACGCGTGTGTTTACATATTCTGTTTTATTTCATCTTCTTTTGTTTTATTTGTTATCAATTATTCTGGAGGAGGATTTGTGTTTTGTTTCGATCCTCTTATTTCTCATTATTTATTTTTTTTTAATAAATTGTATACATAGTTTCTATATATATAAATAAAAATTGTTAAAATATTATTAAAAGCTCTTTAGAGGTGTTCTTATCTTCATTCGTTTAAATGTTAAATTAGATAATTATTAATATATAAGTATGTATAAATAGTAATATAAATTATATGTAGTCGCTTAGGTATTATTTGATTTACTTTCTCACAAATTTGCTTTGCAAATCCGTGCTTTTTATTTGTTGTTGTCAATGTTTTGAAGTTGTGTATATAGATTAATGTAAGTAGTTGATTTATCTATAATATTGAATTCTATGTACAAATACAAACGAAACAACGAAACAAATTAACATTTTAGTATGGCTAACTATTTAAAATCACTAACTAACTGTACATCATATCAAAGTTAAACACCGAAAATGTTTCGAAAATTAAAAACTTATCAAAATTTTGAATTAAATTCCTTGGAATATAAAAAAAAAAACTTACTGAAATGGGTACCAGTGCCAGTGTATTAAGTTACTTTGTGGGATTAAAATCCTTAAAGCGGTTAATCTCTGAAGAATTACTTTTTGCAATGGCATAAACGGCAACCAGATTTAAAATTTTGATATTCATATTCAGTCCACCAGAAATTACATTACAAATGTATGCGTTTACCCTATTTTTCCCAGTTTCCTCATTGCGATACCTTTCCTCATTGCGATACCATTCTATTTCGCACATTTGGAGATGGGCGTTCATATCGTGAAAATATGTATTTCTAATACGATTCGGTGTTGTCTGGGAGGGATCTTATTGTTTCTGTTATGGATCGGACATTCGGTAATATAGTTTTCAAACTAAGTTTTTCTGCAATTTATGTGCCCATAGAATTGAATTTCATGAACAATATCTAATAGATTTAAATTTTAAACGCTTCACCTTCAAAGTTTAACCCCCCCAAATCGTCTCGTAGATAAGAAAATATCCCAAATATATTGTATCTGGGGGGCTATGTACAGGATGTGTACTTTGGTTGCTGATACAGGATACCCTTTAGCAATTGAAATAAAATATTAAGGTCATTGCGTACTTGGATCTGAGTGAATAGCAAATGATGTGTGGATGTGTGAGTGTGTGGGTTTGTGTATGTACGTACGTCTATATGTTCACGGTATTGGTTCAATGGTTTAATACACTTTATTTGGTTTGGTTTCGATTTGTTTTATCTGCTCTATCGATTTTGTTGAAATGCAACGTACCTAGATAGATACATACCTATCCTCTGACTCTATGTACACGTTCGGCTTGCATGTGCAGGCGATATCTGTGGCAATGTATAATGTATGGTAAGAAGGAGTTTGTTATTTCGGGCGCCACACTCGCACTTAAATGCATCGGTACACGGGTACTTAAAGACACACATATCGCACAATACGATTGCGAACAACGATTGTTGTTTAATCATTCCAATTGAGATGGCTTTGTTGCACGGTCTCTGTCTGCAGTTTTTAGCTGCTGCTCATGATGACATCCGTTTCCCTATTGCATTTCCGGCTCAATGCTATCTAGCATTTGATGTAGAAAATTGTACAACAATGGAACACAAGATTGTGTCGGCATCATTCGCCGGTTGAAGAGTTACTCACAGGTGTTCCTGCATTCTATTCCTATCATTCTATATTGCCTTAATGTTTGCCCGTGTGTGTGTGTATGCAAATCTGCCAGTGCGGAATAAAAAATGGGTGGTGGGTTATGCCCCCAGTAACTACACTGATGATGATGTTAATGCTGATGGCAACTTTCTGTTCCATTCAATGATCGATAGCTGATGATGATGATGGTGGTTCGGTTCATTAAACAAATCGGTAAAAAGTCAGGGTTGGCTGGTTGGTTGATTGGTGGTCGTCTTCATGTAGTTGCTGTGGTAGTAGGTGGTGACTGTGGTGGTGTGGTCGTTGTGTTGGTGGTGTTGGAATTATTTTGTGGTGGTCTCATCATTGTCATTCTTGCTCTTCCAAGCATTATGACATTTTGAATGCTGGGTGTTCTTCGTGTTTTTTGCTTTAGCATTGTTTCTTTTTATTATTTGTTTTCGTTTTCTTTATTCAGCTGCCTTATCGTCGCCACATCCAACAGTTTTTTCTTTCGATGCATATCGTTCGAAGGAGCTGCTCTTAACTCGTTGTTAAAATGCTGCTCGTCCTGATGTTGCAACATATTATCATTATTGTTTTTCTTTTTGTTTTTGTTGTTGTTGGTGATGATGATGTCCCCGTTGATATCATCTTGGTATTGCAAGTTGATGCCATCCATGGGGTATGGTTGAGAGCGTTTTCCTTCCAGCTGCTGCTGTTGCTGCATCGATATGCCATCGTCGTCATCGCCATCGTTGGTGTTGTGGTTATTGGTGTCCTTATTGTTATGCTTGAATTGATTGTTGTTGTTACTGCTGATTATGTTGGAATTTCCTGGAGCAAATGTCTCATTGATATTATCCTCTTCCTCTTCGGCATTGGCATTGGCGTTGGCGTTCTGTTGTTGATGGGGCGACATTTTCAACACTTCCTTAGCTTTATTTTCCCATAGCCTTCGATTGGCTTTTAGCTGTTCGCGTCGGAGAGCATGTCCATGCATTTGTTGGTTTTTAGTTGTTGGTGTTTGTTTGTGTTATCGTTTGTGTCCACGCCAATGGCATGTCCAGTGCCAATTAAAAGTATTCCGAAAGATATGAAAAGGATAAAGAAGTCATTAATTGAAATTAACTTGAAAATGAATGGCGCTGTGGCCCGAAAACAAAGCAATGGCCCGTGGCCAATAAATATTTGTGTGTATGTGGATATGCATATTTATACATGCATACATATGTATATAAATGTAAATGTATACAAACAACAATAAATATAAGAAAATTGAAAACTGATAATAAATAAATTAAGGAAGGTGTGTGTGTGGGCGTTTATAGCTCATATAAATGTCAGCACTCCTGTAGCATTTGTGGGACCATGGACAAAACTGAACTTAACAAATATTGTAGCGAGTCATCAATGCATAGCCTGGGTCAGTTGGTCGTTGTGAAAGGACACTACAAGTCGAGGAGTCTACGTTTAATTTTGCAAAATGACATATTACAATTCGATCAGTGAAAATGCATTACCATAATTAATTATCATAGCTTATTATGAGGTTGGTTCGCATAAGGCCAGTTGGAACTGAAAATTCCATTCATTCATTTGGCCGATATGCAACAAATATTTTACGAATTCCATTTGCTTACATTTTTCAATACTTTTGTTTTCAAGGGAAAAATGTTTAATTAAATTTTTACAGCTTTAACAATAAAATACGTTTCACCAAATCGACAGTGGAAAGAGTTGTCATCCATTCATCCTCCTTTTTCCGAAAATTTGCAGAAAGTTCGAAACAGACAACGAGGAAAGGGTATGACAATAATGTGTCTCAAATGAATAACAAATAAGCTTCCCAAGTGGATGTAGGAACACATACTTGTATTGCGATTTGGATATTCCATAACATCAAAAGGCACGCAGGGAGCAATGTTGTATTTGCTGTATCATACAATATTTATGGGACCTCTCAAGAGGAAGTACACTTTTGTAAAGTTAACTGCGTAAATACGTATAAATTATTTAAATACTCACAAAAAGTTTTAGCGTTACAATGTTCCTTAACAAAACCTAGATAAGGACGAATGTTATTTTCTCACCGATAAAAGGAGAATGTTAAAGAAGTTTTTGTTTGAGGTGGAAATTCCCCTACTTGTAGTCCACATTTTTAACATATGTTGGTGTAGAAGCTAAAAACTACGTTTGCTATACAAAACTACGGGGCTATACAAAAACGTGGTCATTTACAGCCAACTATCTACCAGCGAGGGCAGCGCCTATTTGGAACTTTGGAAAATGTAGTTGAAGTCATCAAAATGCCAAAAGTAGGGAGGTACCGTTTTGGGTTTATACGAAGACGTGGACCAATATAAGAAATTTTCTACCAATACCAAATGTGATATAATTTCAGCAAAATACCGAATATCGAGTGTAGTTATATGGGGACTACACCTAAACTTGAATCTATATGGATAGTTATGTGCAAAAATGTTTCTCAAATAACGGGAACATTAGCTGCCAATTTACAGCAAATTATGTCCAAAAATAAGAGGAAAATCAGCCAAAACACCTTAAATCTGGCGGTGCAGTTATATCAAAATGTGGAATTATATGGCCTATTTTCAATACCGAAAATTCTACGGACTTAAATGTAACTCAAGAAATGTTTAACAACCTCCTTCATTTCGTTCGGAATATAGAGTGATTTCCACAGGCGGACGGGGATGGCTAAATCCATATAGAATCTTAAGCTGATCAAGATTTTACGCTAGCTGAATTTCACCCCGAAGAAGAAGAAGTACATTCATAATTAGTATAAAAATTCAAAGTCAATTTAGACAAGTGGTATGATGATTGGTATTCAAAAATTTGAAATATCAGCCCCAGTTTAGATTTGGCCCCATAATTTAGATAATTTAAATGTTTCACCCCACATTTTTTTCCAACCAAATAAGTTGTTATTTAGGGTTTCCATTTTTTTACTTTTTTGCAAATTTTCCAGATATCTCAATAAAATAATATTCACATTTTACAATATAATGGCACATCGACGATATGTTGATATTTTAGGGACTTCTAGGACAGACGATTTGGTTATAATTTAAGTTTCACAAATTTTAGTCACATCGGGGAGAGATTTTGGAAACTGTTGATCATTTATGCAGGAGGTGTCTGAAATAGCTTCGACAGTTTTTGTGCCCACCAACCAACCAATCAGATAGACGGATGAGCATTTCCATAAGGTTGTGAACGGATAGACATTTTTAAATTAACTCACGTCATCCGAAATGCATATGGTTCTATCGCCACTTCCTATCCTTGTAGAAAGAGATGCACATTTGTACTGTACATCATAAATATCTGTTTTTACATTTTCATTACCGCTTTTTAGTTGACACTAACTACTAAAGCTGCCATCGGATGACGACAAAACACCCATCCATCCATTCCTAATCAATGTTTAACGTAAATCGTAGTGGTGGTTGTACCACATTGAGATTCGCACCAATTGACAAGACCGCAGGCAACCACACTTGGTGTTTGCTTATCGTTACAGGGAGCAATTGGCCATGAACCGTTTAGTAGCAAACCTGCAGGTATTATTGATTTAATGTCAGCCCTCCGTCCTCCCGCAGCACGTCTGGCAATGGCATTTGTTTGTATTAATTAAAATTATGTATTTATATTACAATGTTTAATTATGCATTAACGCACATCGAATTAACAGGTCATGGGAGCACTGTGGGCTCGGATGCGTGTGTATGTGGGGGGGATATGAGTGACTGTTTGCGTTTGTATTTACAAAGAAGAGCAGTAACACAGTCATTTATGTTAATTTGATTTGAAATAAGTACAAGAATGAATATTTTGTAGAAGATTAAACGATATGCCAGCCAACATTCGAATGGGAAGTAAAATCGATGGTGTTGAAACGACAACTGACTTGCCGGAGCCTACTATAGAACACAGATTAAAATGATTGAGTAAGGTAGGGGTGATTCGCTTTATCTTGATCCTGGCAGACATATAATAAGTCTAATTTCTGAGGTCTATTACATTTCGGCATGTCAAGTAGAAGAAGTGATAAACTTTATGGGTTCTTCGGTTTACGACACGTTTTTTTAGAGAAACTTTGATTAAAGACGTTAGATGTCGAAGGGCGAATGAAACAAGAATTCCCTGCATAAATTGTATTTAAAAAGTACACTTCCACGCCAAAACACCAAGTCGTGTCCCATCAACATGCTGCTCACCGAAGTGAATGGTGAGTCAGATTTCTACACGTTCATAAATTTTGGAACATTTCAAAAGTCATTAGGATGCTGAAAGCTAACATAAAGGAACTTAATTGACTATCATTTACTCAAAAACCTGAGAACTGCAGTACGGTACGCATATTCAGCCAATCGGGGACGTGGGAGCGTAGAGAAAAGTAAGCGTAATGAAGATTACTTTCAACTACCTAATGTTGAGCAACACGACGGGTGGAGGAGCTGTAGGAGCCGCAACACAATGTCAACATTTGTTAGGAAAAACTTTTTTTTATTTATTTCTTTACAACGACGAAGACGACGGCGAAGACAAACAAAGGAAAGAAAAAAATCAACAACAACAATAAAAATGTTTAAGAAAAGGAAAGTTAAAATTAAATGAAACATAATGGAATATAATACGAAAATAAAAGCAATGCCTGGATGGATGGCTGGTTGGTTGGATGGATGGCACACAACATGTACACGTACAATAAATACAACAAGAATAACAAGAAAAAGGAAAAATGCGGAGAAAAACAAGAACATTCATAAATAAAAATGGTTGGTGGTAACTGGAAGGAAATGCGGGACTGTACACTAGACAACCCAGACAATACAACACAATGGGGAATCGGAGTCCAGGCCAAAACGAATTGAACACAAAACAAACAAAGTCAGGAACTTAACTAAATGGAGCAAATCACAAAACAAGCGCACATTAACAACCAACCAAGCAGCCAACGAACAAACAAACGAACGAATAAACGAGGAACCAACAACAAGAAGAGCAACGGCACTTATATAAGCCACACACATACCTTCGATGTATTATCTGCCACCCAGGCGTCTGGCTTACCGTAATCCGGCGGATTTGCAAAGGGATCATAGCCCAACACCGAGAGCATAGGTGCTATGTCCGCCATGTCGCGCACCACATCTTCGGGTATGTTGCCCACCCACTTCGACAGGGCTTCCAGGTTTACTGGCTTAATCACCTGGTCCGACGAACGCTCCACTCTGCAAAGACACAAGAAAACAGAAGCAAGTTTAAAATAACAATAACAGCAACAACAAATTAATAGACAAGAAAAATGGGAGACAAAAAGTTAATTGCTTCGTTAGCCATTTAGCTTGGAGACACCATGTTACCTGGATGGAAAAACTTTTTATATTCTACACGCATATCTCCACCAAACAAAAGCAGAGGCCGCCCCAACTCCCATTCCATCCATCCCCCCACCGTTGCCATCTGTATGCATTTGGAGCCGAGGCTCGCCCATAAAGCAAAGCCATAATTGTAAGTTATGGCGGAAGTTAGTTAATGATATTAAAATTCTGGGAATTTGCGAATGCAAGATGACATAAAAATGAATAGATGTGTATCCAGACAGACAGAGGGACAGAAAGAGAGTCTAAAACCAGTGACACAGAATAAGCATCATTGCCCTAAAGAATTCCATGGTAATGGAATTCATTAAATACGTGGCGGAGGTGCAGTTGAATAAGTTCGAAGGTTGAATATCTATAGCGCGTGGAAGCATAAAAAACGAAACATATACTCTTTCTATATCTAAGAACACATTTGAGCTAAAGTGTAAATATAAAAATTCAATATAAATCCCACCGCAAGATATTGAAATTTAAACTATTTTTATTTGTATGCCGATTTCTGGGGATTATGACCGATTATTTCTTTATTATGGGGGTTATGACCTAAAAAGAAACGGTCATAATTCCCGTAATTGTAATGGAGATTATGATTGGTTTCTTTTGCGTTTGCTGTTGCGTGACATACCCAGCGGAAAAAATCTCAAGCTCCGAGCGAAGGCTTGTTTCTTACAAAATGAAATAAATTTAGAAAACTTTAGTTCGCATCAACCGTTGTTAGATATATTCAGGGGAGAACATTTAAAGCCCTGGCCAAAGACCGTTTTTTTACAAATTGTATTAAATTTAGAAACATTTGCTTTGCGTTAGCTGCTGTTGGACAAACTCAGAGGAAAAAATCTCAAGTCCCGGCCGAAAGCCGGCTGATTACAAAAAAAGTTTAAAATTCAGAAAATATTGGTTCGCGATAGTTGGTGATGGACATACCCAGAGGAGAAAATCGATTTTTTTTTTCTTTTTTGGTCCGTATTATGATGGGAATTATGTCTGCTACTTTTTGGGGGTAAAGACTGATTTTTTCTCGGACATAATTTCCATTCCATTATGGAGTTATGATCCAAAAAAAAAAAAAAAAACGGTCATAATCCTCGCAAAACACTCTTAATGTCGTTTACTTACTTTGAGAGAGGCACACCGTTGGGTTTGTTGATAAACTCCTCGTGGTGCAGAACAGAGTCATTCCATGGTACATCAAGGAATTCCAATATTTTACGCATCCATTCCTCGGGATGCAATACCAATTGTTCGTAATAAACCTGTAAGAGGAAAAAAATAAATATTCCACATTTTAGATGCTATGGAGTTATTTTTTTTTTTTTTTTTTTTTCAAAATGAGACAATTTAATTTCATGTATTTATTATTTTGACAACATTTTCCAGCAACAACAATGTTATTCAGCTGATTTCAAAGTTTAGATTTTCTTTTTATATTTATTTTACTTCATCCTGCTATTTTCAAAGATTAGACTTTTAATTTATTTGCTTTATTTCAATACCTCGAAAGCTTTGAAGGTCAATTGTACATAAATTGGGAGTCTATCAATTTTTGTTGGGGTAGGGGGAGTTATTTTTTTTTTTTTTTTTTCAAAATGAGACAATTTAATTTCATGTATTTATTATTTTGACAACATTTTCCAGCAACAACAATGTTATTCAGCTGATTTCAAAGTTTAGATTTTCTTTTTATATTTATTTTACTTCATCCTGCTATTTTCAAAGATTAGACTTTTAATTTATTTGCTTTATTTCAATACCTCGAAAGCTTTGAAGGTCAATTGTACATAAATTGGGAGTCTATCAATTTTTGTTGGGGTAGGTCAGCTTGTGTGAACTTAAAGCTGAGTGCATATTTGTTGAAGACCCAAACAAGAAAAAAATCGAAAAAAAATTTAAAATCAAAACATTAAATAGAATTTGATAGTAATTTCTGTGAAATTAATGTTGGCTATGCTAAAAATCCCAAGCAATCTCCAAAGAATTTCTCTACCCTTGGATAACTAGCACAACAGACAGATTGAACTTTTATAATACCAATTTGGCAATGTGTATTAGCCTTCCCAAATACCCAATCCCGTTGAACGCTCAACTTTATGATTTCCCAAACTCTGTACCATTGAAACTTTTTTAATAAACTGAAATTCATTTCCAAAGCAATCCGAAACAATACAAAATCAATTTATCCGTCTCATTAATTTAAAGCTTATGGTGTCATTGTCCCATAAGTCCGCAAGAGATTCACATTTCAATGAATATGATTGCTCTACTCCACCCACCACCACCAGCACCAGCCGAAGTACATTTATTATATTAGTCACGCCAGCAACGGCAACAGCAGCATTGGCAGTGGCAGTGGAAATGTAACCTAATGGCCAAACTGTTCACCAAACTAAGCCGTCGCGCAACCATTTACAATGAGTTTAGGCCGTACAAAAGTACAGCTTATCGTTCTTCATAAATCACTGATGGTTTTCAAGAAAATTTATCATCTGCAGCAGCAGCAACAGCGTCAAGGACGAGCCCAGCAGCAACTGCTGTGGCAGATGCTTGGTTGAACGTTATCTTCTGATATTTCAAATGATTTATGTTTGAACTAAAAAATTGAAAATGATATTCGGGTTTAAACACAACAAGTTCCGGTTACTTTGGTAATGACATTTTTGCAATTTTCTAATTTTGTAAATTAAATCCTAAGCCCGTCCCCGTAAATAGGATATCCGGCACGAATGTACAAACAGAATATATAAACTGATTTTGAAGATTTATTGAGTGTGAAAAGATTAACCCGGAAAGTTCAAAGACATTATGGGATTTGTTATTGAAATAAAAGGAGAATGGTTAATTTATGTCACAAATGAAAATGAATTATTGGCTTTAGTGGAAGGCAAATGTAGGCGAAAGTAAAATTATAAAGCACTCATTACTGTTTAGACAGGGTTGTAGACTAATGAAGATCTAGATTTAACTCAAATAAAAAAAGACCTATTTCAATGGCAGAGCTACAAAAATGCTCAAGAACATTTGCTACGGGAAATTGTAAATTAATGCAACAAAGTTTTCAACTCTGGAAAAATTGACATGACATTTTCTACTAAAATAATCTAAAATCTCCAAAACTATTGAGGGATATATTTTATGAACTGCTTGCCAAAAACTATGATGGGAATAGTTACGGAAAGGTTGTCCAATTGGGTAGAAAAATACGAAAAGATCAACGAATATCAATTCGGTTTTAGAAAAAACTACTCGATGAATGATAATATATTTAGTCTCACTTCGATGGTCGATATAAACTGACATGAAAATGGAAAACATATGCGTTCTTCGTAGATTTTTGACATTGTGTGCAGAAAATCTATGCTATATAAACTATTCTTGGTGTATCAATGAAGGTGACACAATGTATGTAATGATACAAAATTCATAGTATGGACAGGAGACAATCTGAATCTGATAAATTTTCGACGTTTGCAGGAGTAAAAAAAGGATGTTTATTGTCCCCATTGCTATTTGCATTATACTTAGATCGGCAGCGGTAACGAAATTGATGACCTAAATATAAGAATACTGCCTAATGCAGATGATATGGTAATCCTGGCAAATGATTTGAAGGCACTACAAAAAATGATAGATAGATTAGAAGAGTATTGTGATATGTGGAATGTTGCTGTCAACATGGAGAAGGGAAAAATAATATTCAGATAATAAAAATTAATTCGGAATTTACCTATTTCTCTCTTTTTTCCAAAAGAATATACTGGCAAGAAATAAATCAAACAAAAAACTTGAAACTCTACATGGAAATTTATTTTGAATAAGCCCGATGTATCAATTTCGTCCAAATGGAAACTCTTCTTAACAGTTTGCAGATCAATTCAACAATATGGTGCACAAATATGACTTCTTCGACATATATACTAAGATTAGAAACAGGCATGGAACATAGCCACATCATCCACTTGAAAACTTTAGGAAAACATTAGGATTATATCATTCGAGCCATATTTGATTACAATAGCAGCCGATTACGTCACAAACTGGGGAAAATAGTTTTGCAAAAGCAGATTTACTGGACAAATGATATTCGTGTACTCTTAATGCAAAACAATAATGAACCATTTGGTTTGAACAGTGCCAGAAGCGAAGTTATCGAACAAAAAGATCACCTCTTAAAATCATTAGATTACAAATATTGGTGCGATGCCATAAATAGAGCCAATCAAACGACCCGAACCTACTCTAAGCTAGACCCATCAGTAGGTCAAACTTACATCAACTCGCTGTTAATATCAGAGGAGAAAATGTGGATATTCAAGGCCGGAAGTGATATTCTCAAACATAATTCTGATAATATGGATGCAAATAGGAACCCAATCTGCTCCTTATGCATCTTTATGGAAGCTGAAAATCGTCCACTTGTTCTTTGTAACTGTCCCATATTTAAAGAATTTAGAATTATGTTTTTCAAAAAGGCACTGTTTATCGAAGATGACTTAATAATTATTTTAAATGGATATATTGGAAAATGTAAGTATGTCGCAAGTTTTATAAAAATTTGTACACAGTATTCAAATCAGCTATTATCTGAATTCAAAAAAAAAAAAAAAAAAAAACCCACTGCAACAAATATGAAATACTTCTACTACTACGCAAATACTACAACTTGAAACTATTCGAATATTATTTGTGGTAAATATACAGGTTGTGACAGCATTCTATTTTTTTCATACGTATTTATTTGTAATATAGTCCTTTATTCTAATGTCCTTGTCCTTGCAGAATGTCTTGATAAAATATATTAATTAATTGGAAACTTCTCTTACAAGTGATCAAGCTTGGTGCGCAAACATTCCACGTTCAGTAGCCATTACAACCAAAGAAAACGCACAGACCAAACTTTCTTTTGCTACACCATACACATACACGCTGTGTTAAAAATCTAATACCACGACATGGTGTCATGGCTGACAGTTAGGTTCACTGTGTTCGCGATGTCTCCACAAAGATATTAATCGTTTTAAAAATACGCTGCATTTAATTTCCAATCAAAATATAACATTGGAGAGCGAAGCCATGTCAGATAATGGACCAAATGGCACGGAAGGGTAGAAAGGGCGACATAACATTTGCTATTGAAACAATTTTGTTAAAATGCTCCAGCCATGATAATAGACTGTCTGGCGCCAGATGCACGCTGTATGGAAAGCAATTCAGCAGAGCAGTAAATGGTAGCGAAAACCTACACACATACACTTAAGCCTAAAATAGAGTATGTGTATTAATGTTAGAATAAAATCCCATGAAATTTTTACACAAATATGTAATGCTCAACTTTATGCCCATTGTTACATGCAAGGTGGTAGTACTCCGAGTAATTTTTTACACTATCTAGCGTGAGTTAAGCTTACATTTAAAAATGGTCACACCCTTTGGTAGATTTTTCAGGTATTTAACTTCACAATGGCTTGCCATAAGAAAGGTCCTTTAGCGTGTATTCCAGGAGCATTGGAGTGTAATTTTTTCCTCTAATAGTTCTCTTGAAAATGATGTTGACAGTACTTTCAATGGACTTATTCATAGTATCATTAAATCCAAGATCCTTTGCAATTGCATTTGGACACTTGTCATTTGTCAACATTTTTGTCTACATGCCAATATTATTCTACATTTTGACATTTTTACAATATATTCCAGCAATGTTTAAACTTTCGTACATTATTGTATACTAAGAACACATGCCTACAGCTATTGAACATGGAAAACAATGTTGCCTGACATGGCAATGGAGTTCACTGGTCTCGACATCATTTAATTTAATTTTCAATGTAATGTGTTGTTGTATCGCTGGTTAACAAGCACATTGCGTTACATCGTTGATTAATCGTTTGAGCCACAATTATTTGAAAACTCATAATGAATAACGGCAGAACCAAACAGGATAAAACTCACCATCATGCAGCGCTCCTTGCCAATCTCTTTGCACTGGTCGTGCATAACCTCAATGGCATGATTCCATTTTTGCATGCACTGGCGATAGCTGGTCAGATCGAAACCCGTTATGGTCACTTTGCGCGAAATAATCGAATGGACAGTGGCACGCCCATCGCGTACCATAAATAGAAACTTTGCCTGTAATTAAAACAAAACAGAAGGGTTAAGTAGGCGAATTGGCCGAATCAAAAGAAATCTGTAAATGACTTTTGGACTTACATTTGGAAAGAGCTCTATCACATATGTGCCCATTTTTAGGGTGAGCGGATCCTTGTTGCAAAGTCTTGGAGCTGGATCGCCATGCTTGGCAATGATTTCCAAACAAAATTGAGCAATTGCACTGTTCATGACTTCTTTGGTAATGCCAGCTTCTACCAGCCGCAGTGATTCCTTTTCGGACTTGAGCCAGTGAGAGCGAAGCTGCAATATTCTTGGTATAACTCTGGTTTCTTGACCGCATCTAAAGTAATAATAAAAATAAATACTTATTAGATGGGAAGGGAACTGTAAAAAATTATGTCTAAGTAGCGATGGCGTATGAATAATTATGGGCATAAAATATGTTTATCATACGCAGCCGTCCACTTTTCGTCCAGTCAAAATAGACACAACGGATGTCTCAAATAGAATACAACTTTTAAAATAAAAAAAAAATAAAACACAGATATTAAAAAAATCCTGAAACTTTATTATATCGTAAAGTAGGCAGAATGAGGTTATGTATGCAACAAGATATGCTGCAGTCGGTCGCCGCTGCTTTGCTGGCACACACTCGATTTTTTATAAGACTTTCAATGACGGTTTTGCATATATGCTGTGTTTTTTTATTAATACAGCATCGTTGTCGGCCTATTCGCATAAACCATCGACTTCAAGAAACCCCAAAAGAAAAAATTCTAAATGTGTTAAATCGCACGATTTAGGCGCCCAATTCTGGTCCAAAACGTGAAATAACACGACCGGGAAATGAGTGATGCAGCAATTGGACTGTTTCTCTGCTGTATGATATGCTTTATGATATGTGGCGCCCTCTTGTTGAAACCACATGCCCTCCGCATTAATTTCTTCAATTCTAGGCATGAAAAAAACTGATAATTATTTTAAGATTGTGTTCCTTTACAAATAATGTTAGATGGCACAAATTGCGGCATAACATAATTTTGATGGAGAGTTAAGCAAATAAAGTCTTAAAAGTCCCGATCGATCATCAATGTATAAAAAAATATTGGTGATAGAAAAGAGGCTTGTAAACAAAAGGCTTAGCCTCATGATGAGAAATGGATACAAGACCTAAACTTCTACTCGAATGCGAAAACATAAATCGTACTTAAATTGGCCAGAAGACATTAGTGGTTGCACAACACAAAAACACACCATCACGATTTAACTTTATCAAAAAAAAAAAAAAAAAACAAGAAGTTGCATCATAAGTTCATCATCAGGTTTTGTATGAATCTTTCGATTGTCCATAAAACTCAGGTTTCAATTTGATATAAGTAGAATATTACATTTCATAGCCACAATCTCAACCGGCAACAGCTGCTATAATAAAAATTCAACGATAATCATTAAAATTGCCCTCTAATAAAAACAAAACTAGCTCCTTCAAAACATTTTTCCAGCTCCAGTCGCGAAATGCAAACAATTAATGTAAACCATTTTGGCCACCGCTGATGATGATTGGTGGATCCTTCCGAAACCTCGGTGTTCCCTACCTTACCCACTTTTACTAATAAACAAACGTTGTTTTAATAAAAACAACAATAATAGGATTAAGACTGACTATTTTGCAACAACAAAATAGTACGGGATCCCGAACAAACATGCCAACACTGTTCCATCACCACTTTATCCATGTAACTAGCCTACATAACATACTTCCTCGAATCCTTTTGCACTGACGGCAGATACAAGAAAATAGTTTCATTTTATAATTAATTTTAAGTTTTTTAACAAACCTTCAAACACATTAGGCTTCTTTAGACTTTATATAGTTATAGGCTATTAATTTTCCATATCCTTAAAGCCAATTTGCCTGGAGGCCACATTAAAGACTACCAAGTCAAAGTTTCAAATAATTTTAAACTTTTTTCTTATTTTTGCAAACTAACGTTTAATGCCAAACCGCGCGCTCCCGACAAAAGGAATTATTGGAAAATGAAATCAAGTGAAGCGCAAAACACCAACATATTGGCTGCTCTAGCAATGATAGTAGTGTGGAGCGGCGCGGCGCGGCGCGGCGCGGTGTCGTGTGGGACAAACAGGAGGCTGGGAATTAAACGCGCATCTTCACAATAACGGTAAACATTGGTGGCTTCTAACGTTTGCTTTCATTGTGAAATTATTTCCCAGAAAAGAATTTTCTATCTTGGGAACAATAGACCTTAAACAAGCATTCGCGTGGGAATATGGCCATGGAGCAGACGTTTCTCTGCCACACAATGCAACACGAACGCCAGGCAGGATGATGCTGACTGGCGATGCCGGAGAACGAAAGAAAGAAGCGCGAAAGACAGCAAATAAACACAAACATGAACAAGGCTCACTCACTGGTGGCAGTACAACATCAGCTGCTGAAATAGAAATAAGCCATTTCCGTCGTCGCAGCTGCCTCGCCAAATCCTCACCGCGCTTGGTCCCCTAATCGCACTCATATTCAGTGATTACAACAGAGAGCAAATACCGTACCTTGGCAAGCAAATATCTAGTAATGCCTAATGCAAAACAAGTCTATTCATTCATTCATCCATTCCTTCTTTCTTTCATGCGGGCCAAAGATGTAGATGATGGCACGTAGCAGAAGGAAAAAAACATGAAATGAGCCTAAGATGAAAACTGAAAAAAACTGAATTACAACTCAACTCACACAACAGCAAAAATGAAAAATCTTTTCAGTTGGAAAAGGCTCAGCAGCTGAGCTCAATGTGTTTGGATTTTCCTGCTGCGGCTGATGCTGTCACTCACACCTGCACACAATTGTCATAAAAGAGACAAACACAAAAACAAATGCAAATATATTGGTATAATCTGTGTGGGCTCTACAGAAAGCATGTCATAATTTCAGATGACCTGGGTATTATCAATATCAGGAGAGTTTACTTTATATAAAGAAAGGCCGATGGCGCTATGCCGATGTAAAATGGAACACATTTCTTTTGGACTTCTATCCAAAAAAAGTGACTTTTGTGTGAGGAATAGTTAATGCATTTTTTTAGTTTTGTGTGGGAAATACGTTAAGAAGTATTTACATTAGATATATTGTTGGTAAAAAAGTTTAGATACACAAAGTTTGAGAAAAATCACAAATAATTATTCGGAATTTTGGCTCTTTGTGTGGGTAGACCTCCCCATATATTATATTATCTATTATATGACCTAAGAAAAATTTAGATATTAAGATACAAAGTTGGAAGGAAATATAGTAAAGTATTTCTTTGAACGATTTTGGAAAGATTTTGCTCATCGCCGACCTGATGAGGATTGGTGGCTCTTTCCGAAAACTAGGCATTCCCTGCCTTACCCCCGCCCCGATAAACATTACCACCATTCTCGACTAATAAAAACAACAATAATGGGATCAACACTGACTATTTTGCAGCAACAAAGTACTACGATATCCTGCAGAAACATGCCAAGATTGTTCTTTAAATTATCTCTTTGAAAATTTGAAACGATTTTGTCCATCCCCGAGCCCGATCTAAGTTTGATAGAAATATTACGATATAACAATTGTATACCTTTATTCCGAATAGGCATATTTTGAATATATCAAATGATGTATATCCCTGTAGCCACATGGTAGAGGGTATAAAAAAACTACCGAATTCCAATAAATAAACTTCAACACCCTTTTACAAACCACTCATTTATTCCAATGTCATAGGTAATATTTTCAGATTTTTCTTTAATTCTACATTTATTTTAAATTATTTCAAATGTAAGTTAGATAAAAATGAGCTCGAGTTCGTCAGAGGCCGAAATATCGAAAATAATAAATAAATAAGGTCCGTCGAAAAATATCGTTGCATTCCCTATGTTAAGCCTTTGTAAACAAATTTCCAGCCAGATTTAGGCTATACGGAAGATACATATGCCCAGGTGCTGCGATTGCTCTCATTCGGCAGATATTTCATGACTTTCATAGGATGACCGATAATACCAAGAATAGGCCGACATCAAAATGTCAAGTACAATATTTTTAAAGTAACAATGTAGTGTATGAAGATGATAAATATAAGTACAACAGACATACATACAACAAATGCTATTGCCCTGAAAGGCTTCTTTCATCCTGTTGTACAATATGTACAGCACATGTTACATTCCCATCCATAATATACAGACCCTTAACGTAAGTATATCATCCCGACGTCATGGTATTTATTCAACTTTAGAACAGAGAATGACACTTTTATTGGATTTTTTTTTTGTTTAAATATAAACACAAGCTCACACATCACTTGTTTGCAAACACATAACTTCATATACATGCAAATGTACTTAAATACACATATGCACATCTGTATATACTTATGATATCTTCATATAAGTGTACAAATATTTGGCATAAAACAATATGACATCTCACATAAGAGCATTCGACATTCGCTTTTATTAGATTTGCAATCCGTCCGTCTATTTATTTACACACTTTTGTTTTAGCATTGATGCTTTTCAAGTTGTTACTCAGTTCTGTTCCGTTGAAGGGGCTCTCACATTTAAAGTGCTTAAAAGAAAATTAACAAAAATATTTATCTAAATTAAAGCTACACAGTAAGACGAAGAAAAATCGGAAATGGAAATATTTGAGATCTAATAAATCTATATGATAAACTTTACCTCGGTCAGAATGGCAGGGAAAAATTAGAATAATATTCAAACTGCTGTAAAAAACAGTATCCTTGCACAAATATTCGTTTAAAAATCCATTTAAAAGACATTTCACGGAACACTTTTAAAAGTTTTCCTAATTAAACAGATATTGGCATTTATTTATAGAACCAGCCTAATAAACTTAAACACATGTGTGCGTATGTGTGCGTACGAATGATTTCCACATTAATTTCTGGAGTCGTAACTCTTTTTGTGACACTATTAAGAGTTTATGTTTGTTTAGATTTTACACCTCCCCCCTCTGATTTTTCCCTTCCGTCATGTAACGCAGCCGAGTGTGTTTTCCTGTTATCCAAAGACATCCACAGTTTTTAAAATATATATGAACCATCTTTTATGCAGATATTATATACATAGATATTTATATGCATGTATGTTTGTAAGTACTGTTCTGCTGTGTAGGAATTAATGCGTACAATATATTTACTAGGGTGTCCTGTAAATGTCTACATATACACAAATATGTTCAAAAATAGGATATTGTAGTGCCAAATATATGTCATCAAGTAGATTTTTTTTTCAGATGTAACGAAATCACAACAATATCGTTAACAATGTTAAGTGATT